TTTAAATTTCCACCCCAAATGATGGGAAAGTCCATTGGCATTTCAATCTGTGCTAGTTGTTGGAGGACTTTTGTCCTTGCCGTCCCATTCACCGGAGCGTTAACATTAATAAATATTCACTCCACCCCTGCCATGATAGCTTTCGCTATGATGACATGCTGAGCCCATAGATGTTGCCTCCATGGTGTCATGTTTGTGGCTGCTTGATACGGATTGATGAGGACAGGAACCCCAGCATTTCGCTCGTTTCCTAATGACCAGAGTGAGTGTCCGCCGCAGTGTGCTTAACTCTCTCATGGCGGCCACCTTCAATGCGGCCTGAGCTTGTTCGTCCTTGAGCAGATGTGTTTCCTATAGAGCTACCACGTCCTGATTTCCTCGCTCATGTTTTTCTTTGACCCCTGCAGATAGCGTCCTAATTGATCGAGATGTGGTGTCAGACCTCTTACATTATAAACCGCTGCCACGTAGGTGTTGTTATCTTGGTGTTGTTGTATTTTTGTGTTCCTCCTTTTGTTTTAAATGGCGCATGTTCTCGTCTTTCTTACTCGCTTAGTCCTGGCCCGAAGCCCCTGTTTTAACTCCTATCTTTTTCTTGTGCTATTGGCGCTTGACAATATCGCGAAAGCGTCACTTGTGGGACCGGTATGCCTTCCGCGATGCGCCGCGCACCCTATTTAAGATGATGTGTCCGTCTCTTGTAACTGGCAAGGTAGATATATGGCACGAAGGAGGACAGCGGAAGCACTAGCGGCTATCAAGGTATCCAGGAAACCGCTCAAGCGTTTATTAGACCCGAACGATATAGATGTCTCTGCTGTAGGTCGACAAGAGCCCTCATTCGACGACTGCACTCCGAATGGTGTCGATTCCCTCGAGTTTTGCAGCTTAAATTATCGGTTGAAGTTCGTGAAGACCTCATGTGGATTAGCCCGTTTGTTCTAACGGAGCAGCAATCAGTTACCCAACCAGCCTGGCTGCGGAATCGCTTGAGCCAGCCGTGCGTTTCTTTATGCATGCGAGAAATTTCAGCCTCTATGTGCTATATCAAGGGATTCGCGAGTATTTCCTTTTGAGGTTTGACGTTGAAGAGATTCGTGCAATCGATTCCGGGAAGATCGATTTCACGTGAGCCCAAAGTGCCATTCTTGCCGTACTAGTATGGGGCCACGCTGGCGCGACACCAAACGGGCGACGAATCAGCCTGTGCACGTAAGATGTTGGATAGATAATTCATCTGCAGTAGCATGGATCGGACGCCACCACGCCAGCAACCGTATGCTCAAGATCTTAACCGTTTACCCTCACGTGCCGAACTTCAAATCAAGTCCACGTATTGACATCGGATTTAGAAGGATCGTCGAATTTATGGCGAATCTCGGCTCAAGAGCAGGGTCGGTCGAGCTACTTGAGAAATAGACTAACAGCATGCGTTTGTAGAGCAAACAGGATTTTCCATTTCCAAAGAAATGCAGCACGAGGCACCGCGCTACAATGGCGATCGCTTGCAGATATGTCAAGAGACCGATACTTCCGAACGTGGCGGCACTGGTGCCAGTCTTGCAAGCAGCACGGCCTGCCCCCATGACCACATCAGCATTATCCATTCAGTCAATCGGTTCCCCCGCGTTATGATTGCAGTTTCAAGCTGGTAGAACAACCCTGGAGAGTCCATCCGTCGAGTTGACACAATACGGACTGCGCTTAGCCATGTACTATGGTATCATCGTCTCTATGTCGTATTTCACAAACGCTTAAGCCACTGCACGAGCTTGTTCTCCAAGGCACACAGCACGTCAGCCCACCCCGACCGCATCGCGACACCGCCAGAGTCACTATGCTTCGCAAATACGTTCAAGTTGCAGACATGTCACTCGCTTAACACCGCGGCCTTTGTGGGGCTGCGGTGTTGGGCTTTTTCTTTTGTTCGCCAGGAATCGAATTTCTAGCATCACGCGGGAAGCGACAAACGTATTGTTCGCACGTCCAAGCCGTTAGCGTTCAAGATTCGAGCGGCTCGTCTATCTTTCAGCGTAGCGACAGCAGTGGCGATAAAACTACGAGGAAGCAAAACGGGCCAAGTGGGCGCTCCAGCCAAACGGACTTTTTACCCCCCCCAACGCGATGAATATCTTAGACATGATACAGAAATCCTTATCGTGTCCCGTGGGACACGATTAAGATTTAACTTAAACTGAGTATGAAAACATACTCAATTTCAAGTCAACTAGGGAAAGGTTACAGTACCACTTCAGTGCATAGACCGACTTCGTGAATTAAAGACGGGGCTAGCATGAAAATTCCAAATATGAAATTCGAGCGACTATCTTCATGTGGTATATCTGACGTATAATCAATTGGAGGCGCAAAATTCAGTCCACAAATTCTCCATCATTTTAGCCGTGAACATGGCTTTCCGCGCCCGTTGGGATGAGCTGAAGAAGATTGGCTGGATGTCCAAGCGTCCAACCGGACTATTCTATCTCCACACCTACATCCAGTCCGACAAGACGAGGGATGGCGTGCAAGACGAGGATTATTTTGTCGGCAAGGAGAAGCTTATGAGGTATCTTGATCGTCAAGAGGTCAAGATCTTAGGACGTGTTATTGCTCTCTCCTCACGCTATTGCGACCTAGCTGAGCTACATCTCCAACAGGAGAGGCGCAAGGTCCGACCGGCGGCGAGAGTCCGACTTTATGCGAGCTCGCCAAACGAAGATGGTTGGTAATTCCCTATCATGTATTTGTAATCGTGTCCTGATCAAATATCATGTCTAATGCAGCTTATTATATCCTTTTTTGCGAATCTTGCTCAGCAGACCCGACTCCTGCGTCTCCCATGGTTGTAGCTGCGACGGAGATTGCTGGCGGGCCTGTGACCTCTGGGGTCGAGCCGGAAAGGACAGCGCCTGCGGAGAGTGCACCATATGCGGCAGATGATGCAGGAGTTGCGACAACGGTTTAACGAATCCATACCGACGTCAGTGATTCTATGGCCGTTCACGCTGCCGGGGTAGAGACGGCAACTGCTGCGAGTGCCGGAGATGCAGCGAGTGTGGCTGAAAGCGTGACCAAACATTTTAACATGCCTGGCGCTCAGCATTCGAATGGTGGAATATCAAGGCAATAGTGCGGAATAAGACTGAGCTATGCTGATTGTGTGGGATGCGCTTGTGGTAGATATTGACATTGGAGCCATCACTCGTAATACGGCAGCCACGTTTGGTGATGTTGATTCGGATGAGACGACGATGCTAGACGCGCTGGACAATCTGTGCTGTATGGACATGATGGAGAAGTGAGAAAGGATAACGACGAGAATGGTTGGTATTATCGTAAATATACATGACATGAAACATAACGTTGATGCTTATCGTGTATACTACAATGTTATTCTGCTAGAGTTCATTATCACGGACTTGAGCGAAGAGTGGGACGAGCTGATTACCCTCGATTTCAAAGGTGAGAGCGACGACGGGCTTGATGATATAACAAGTGGCGAGCTCGATGACCCAACTGATCTTGCCAGTCAAGACGAAGAAGTTGTGATCCAGCCGGAGATGCTGTTCGACGAGGATATTCTAGCCAAAATTGCAACATCACTGGAAGATGTCAGAGCAAGGCGCAATTCGGCGCGGGTGCTTCGGGCAATTCATGTCGAGAGATCGGTTCGCACACGGCAACCTGCTCTTAAGCAGCAACGTAGATCCGTGTGCCGCCACCGATCGAGCGTGGAAACGCCGACCCGTGATCAAAGTTTGCAAGAACATTTCCAACCCGGATACGTACTCCCTCCGATCATGGCTTTCTACGAGACCATACTTCCGTCACGGTACGGATTCAATCGAATGAGAGTGTATATGAAGGATAAACTTCATAAATGGGATTCAAAGAAGTTGCATCTCGAATTGTGCCAGCTCCATGAATCCGACTGGGGACTGTGCGCAGCACTCAGGGCCTTCAGGGATCTCCAACCAAATGAAAAGCCTCTACGGGAGCTGTAGCGCACACTCCTATTCAAACCCAGGAAATGAGGGAAGGCAATACAGATGACAGTTGAAGCGGCGCCAAAGAGCTTGCAAAGTATGCTCGGTCATGAAGGAAAATAGTAGTGGTGGCTATACAGCTTTCTACTGCTCTACTTGCGTGCTGGCGAGTTGCCGGAAAGGCAAGTCGCCCAGGGTCTTCTTGTGCAACAAGGTCAAACACACATACGACGGCAGGGCACGCACCATAAGTGCTGGAGAAACGGCACCCTGCTGCCTTTAGGGGACAGCAAACAAAGTATACGAGCTCGGCTGCAGAAGATGGTCAACACTGACAGTGCAGGGCCCATCAGCCGACTCAGCAAGTCACGTCACGTGCAGTGATGTGGCAACGGCAGCTGCTACTTTGCACAATATTGTCCTGATCTGAGGATAGTCAATTTACAGCTGCTTTCGCTTCAATTTTTCTGATTTTTTTTGTCTTTGCACTGGTGTCCGCGTCCATAGCACCTGAACGCTTTCTCTACGCAACCAATACGTGGTAAAGTCTTGTATCGTGAACGAAAGCCAAAAATATCGTGTATTTCTGTACTTCAAAACATGATTATATTTCTGGCCTGGAATGGGGTAGGTTTAGCTTTAAATACATGATATTATAGATTCATCTTTTAGCTTGTATTGCAAATCTACAGCTAGGGATTCGCCTAACTAAGGGAGCCAAATGGTGCTGGGCTGGGGGGGGGGGGGTAAGCGTGATCTCACACCAGTATGTCCCGTCTTAGCGTCACGTTTACTACGACGAAATGCTGAAAAAAATGAACTTCCCGGGAAACGTACGCATTTGCTCGAATAGTAAAAGTCAACTCCTATCGTCAGAAACATTGACCAAGGTCCTGCGAAAGACTGCAGTTGCCTGCAACACAGCTTGATCAAGGTTTTAACAGAATATCTCAGAACTGGAGATGCGACAGCTTTGCACGATAGGCATCGGATGCCCATCGCCCGTGCATCCGAATGGTGGCTGCGTCGACATCATATATACGAGAAGCATCAGCGACGGCACTGAACCTCTCGAAGCGCATGGAAAATATACTCCGAAACTCGCCGTCCCGAGGTATTTTCTTGGCGCATCACGAGCTCCACAGCTCGCGTGAGGCCGATAATGAAGCTTCGTCATTTACGTTAAAAGGGTTACAGGAAAAATACCTTGATGGTAAATAAGTAAATCAACCCTTCTCATAGCTTGGAACTGCAATCGATTGGCATGTCATCACTGACGTCGATGAAGATGAAAACAATTCGTCGCATTCGTGATATCTGTCGCATTTTTATGTCAATCCCTTTCCGTTAAGGTTTAGCTTTCGGACAAGACTTTGCACTTTGCTCTGGTCTGCACAATACAACAGTGCACTAATTGAATTTGGCTCTGACGCGATCTCAGATTAACAAAGAGCTTCTAGCAGCAAAGACCATCGACAGACGAATGCTGACAGGCAGCACCTCAGAGTTAGGATGGGTCACTGCGTTCCGAACAACAAAACCAACAGGAAACGGGTGCTAGGAAAGGAACAAAGTAGTCAACTTCGATGGCGTTGGTTATATCTCTATTTTCTAGAGTTTGTCCAACTTTGAGTGGAGTTATCGCCGCAGTCCAGCTATAAGAGCAGATAGCGTCGCAGTAAAGGCATTTATTTAAAAGGAAAACATGTAAGAGCAAAATGGAAGGCCACCTTTCATCGTCATTAAATAGGGTCCCAGAAAGAATAAGACTTAATAAGGGAGTATATTCACAAGTTGAAATGATACTTTAGTGTGTAGAAGCTTTAAAGCTACTCCGGAGGTGGCGGTTGGTGAGCTTGTTGGCGCCATTAGTTTCAGCCGAGCCTCCAGCGCCAGCATTCTCATCGCGAACTGACTGATCACCATTGTCAGCGTTGAACTCGGCGCTCAGGTCCCTTGGAAAACGGATGGAGGGCAGCGGCGGGAGTTTGCTGGTTGCGGAGGCAACGGCAACATGAGATGTGCAAGTTGCCGACGAAGGCGTATTTTCCCGATGTCGCAGTTAGTTATATTTAGTTCTGTAGGAGCTCGAGAAGCTTAGTTGCTTCCAGCTCACTTTCGCTTTCTTTTCGCAGCTAAAACCTCCAAGAAAACCTTTCCGGACAAGCTCATCCGCCCTTCATGAGCAATACCTATTTTTACCTTCTTCCGGGCGCCTTCAGCCTCATTGGTCTCCTACGGTGTCTCGGAAGGTCAGGCGACACGTGGAGGAAAGCTCAAGGTCAAGCTCGTTCCGAGTGGTCGATGGGCAGACAGTCAGACTGAGACTGTCGAACTTGTTCACGCAGAGATAACTCCGAGAGTGGTGACAACCCAGGAGGCCCTAGATGGAGTGGGTACCTTCGTGGGAAGCGCTATTTGCACGCCAAGGGTGCCCCCAGGGAAGGCCCGAATTTGGGACTACGGATTAGTCGTTGGTTATGACTGGGATGAAGAGTCGCTTCGAGGAACCCTTGATGTTAACTTTGACGGGGTCGAACTACAGGTTGCACATAAGCCAAACTCGATTCAGGATGTTGCTGTTGAGATTTATGTGTTGCGGCCTTGTGGTGGTCGTGGCGTGGGTCTGATTATGCCACTTGAACTCAAGCAGAGACACGAGAAGATCTACAACAAGTTTAACGGAGTTGGCCAGCCGGCTGTTCGGGACTCGACAGCTCTGCTCGCTGAAGTTGGCAGCACTCCCATCGATGAGTCAAAACTGGTGCCACTCCTTGATGTTACAAGTTTCAAAGTGTATCAAGTGACCATTCAACACATCCTTGATTACGTCTACTACAAAGACGGAAAGCGCACGGCACCACCCGAAATTAAATTAGGCGATAGCATTTTCAACTTACCCAGCGAAGACGACAACAGTCAGGACCGGTCCAGATCGAATCGGCGTGAGCTAAATCCGCAGAGCGAACCTGTGTTCAGTGATGGTCTTAGTGACTCGGAGGACGATAGCGAGCCCCAGGGGTCGGTGCGACTGGACAGGCCTCCAGCGGGGTCGGCGTCAAAACGCAGACGTGTGAACAGCGCTGCCAACACCGGCAGCTGCGCTGAAGATCGTGTGCAGCGACGTGGGGCTCGTTGTGATGGAGATGGACAGCTACAGAAAGATGTCGATCAATTAATCTCGCTACATCGAACAGTGCCAGTTGTCGATCCAACCGCGGTTTGGCGACCGCATATAGCGGAGACTCAAGACAAGTGTCAATTCCAGCCAACTGGAACACAAACAGGAATATATCACTCTCTCATCAACGGTAAGTACGTGTCTATGACAGCACAGCGCTTTGTGGAGTTTGTTCAAATTCACTGGAGAAAATTTGGTTTCTTTCCACACCCTGCTATTCTGCGTGGCCTGTTTGGATGGGACTTCGGTACGAGAGGGCTCTCCATCCGACATTTCGTTCGAGTTACTGAGCAAGAAAAACGTGCGGGAGTTTTGAAGCATGACATGAGCAATTTCTCACGGAAAAATGGACTTCCAAGACCTGTAGACCCGACAGAGTTTTCTACTTTGATTGGTGCAGTTGAAGTTCTTCACAACGTTGCTCTTCAATGTTACAAGCCTCTCGTCCAGGAGCTATTCCAATCCGCAGTAACTTTTCTCGCTGAGTTACGTGTTAGTGACGCACCAACTTCAGTGCTAGCTCTAGCAGAAGTTGCAGCTTGGATTGATGACCGTTTGGAGTTGTTTCGTGTCTATGTATCTGATGAAGATTGGGATAAAGCAGCAGGGGTCAAGTCGCATTTCAGTATTGCTCAAGAGTCTTTCATGCGAGTCCATCAGTTTATAATGAGGCAAGAGCTACACCCTACACGGGGACAAGCTGCGTTTTCCGACGGTCAACGTGGCCAACCTCCCGCGGCAAAACGACCAGGCAAGTTCGAGAAGCGCCCCTCACGCTCAATTCCTCTGGAGATCCGAAAGGCCCTTCCTAAACAAGGCGGAAAAGAGATCTGCCTTCGTTTCCTTTCCAAGGAAGGGTGTCGAGGCGAAAACGGAGCCTGTGTCGACACAAATCGCTGCCATTTTAAGCCAGCAGTATTACCTCAGGCGGTTCGTGAATTTATCGCTAAGAAATTTGGAGGAATATCAAGCGACATGCAGTGACGGTGTATACTGGCGGAGGCCGCAAGCTTCGACCTTTCACTGGTCGACGACACCGATTACTTTGAAATTATTTCTTCCGGTACTGCCAGCAGTACACCTCACTCTAGTGCTCAAAGTTGGTGCTCAAAGGATGTGGTATCGGTTTTGGCTACAGGGGCAGCGAGCACGACAGTCTCCCCCTCTTGTAGCTCTATAGAAGCTCACCACAGCCTCAACTCTCTTATGCGAGCAGCGAAGTCCAAGTGCTTCCCCTCGAGTAAGAAATTAGGAGACACAACCGAATTAACTGCGTTGTTCAAGCTACAACCACGGGCAGCGGATTCTCTCGACTCCCCCTCGTGCGATAGTATGGTTACTACCCGCGCAGTAGCATTCTCTAACGAGCCACCTCAGCCCACGTTAGACTCAGCTGCAATTCTAATTCGGGCCATGACATCTTCTCAAGGAGGTATAGACGGCAAGAGAGACCATATTTTATCTGCATGGGCAGCGGAGGTTTCAAGCTTCCCCTCATGCGAAGAATTTGACGAGAATGAAAACGCTACGGCGACGATGCCACCTGCATTTTGCGGTGCACATGAATTACACAAGTCAAACGCTCGACACGCTGCTGTTTGTGATAAAAACCTTGATGGACATGTGCCGACAGATAGTCTGCATTGTCCTAGTACTCAAAGTACGCCGGATATAGTGAGGCTGCTACGACAGCGCAAGTTCTCTCAGACTTTGTTGGCACGTCGTTGCTTGGCGGAAATTCACTTAAAAACTGCTTCAGCAGTTTTAGCGCAACAGTTATTTCGCAGTGGTCTCTCTCCACCGGATCCAGCACCAGTTTCAATGCAATGCAATGGGAAAACGACGTATCTGTTGGATCGGAACAAGCAGGCGGTATACAGTGAGTTTATTCGTCGAACCAATATGAATTTGCCAGAATTTGTTCGCCTTCTACGTGGTGAAAGTCCTGCCGATTCAAGACCAAACAAAAATCTCGAAATACCAAGCAATCATCCTGCCTGGGTCAGCTACAAACATAACTCGCATTGGCGAGCCATCGTGGATCACGGTGTTATACCGCATTGGAAGAAAGCATTTGGCAAGCAAGACAAGCCGCCTCCAAATCATGGATCGGCTCGCAGGGCGCTGAACACGATTGTGAAAAACCTCCGAGCTGGACAGGACGCCGATCGGTATTTACTACTCGATCTTGACTTACTTTCTACACTGGAAGGCGTGACTTGCAGCCCGTTTGGGGCTGTATCGAAGGGTGACGTCGAATTAAGCGTTGACGCTCGTATAATTCACGATTTGTCGTTTCCAGTGGGCAGCTCTGTGAATGACAACACAATTGCTGATCAAGAAATCTCAATCACTTACGATGGGCCTGATGCACTATCTAATCGGATATTGGATGTAGCACAATCATTGCCAGGACAGCAGAGGATGTTAACAGGTGACGTAAATGGTGCGTTCAGGAACATCCCAATTGCGGCGGACGAGGTTGGCCGGTTTGCAGGGACGTTTCCAGAGCTCAACATCTTGGTGATCGATTTGTATTGTCCCTTTGGATGGAAAAACTCTCCTGCTTCGTACTGGTACGCTGGTGCAGGAATTAAGCACTTATACGCTAATTCAGCACCACCACGTGGACATCAATCACTTAAACAAAGCCAAAACTTCGATTCACGAGCTTGGTGCGATGATCATATCGCCATCGAGCCCGACATCGGTTCGCGGCTGTGTGACGCGGAACTTGCACTGAGAACTGCAATGATAACAGTTCTAGGGCCAAACGCATGCAACGAGAAAAAGTTCTCTCCTTGGTTTTCACGTGGCAGAGCATTAGGACTGGAATGGGATCTGCAGAAGCTGACAGTATCAATGCCCGAGGAGAAGATAACAGAAGCGCTTCGTCGGGTTCGTGAAATGGCTCGTCGGCTCAAGGCCACCCGAACTCAATTGCAGAAGCTCATGGGTAGCCTCCGACATGTGGTTACATGTGTGCGAGCAGCTGCACCTTTCTTCCAACGAATTGCCGATTTAACCCGTCAAGCGCCACGCTTTGGTGTCATTTTAGTTTCAGCTGGGGCTAAAGATGACCTACGCTGGTTCGAGTTAGTCTTATCAACAGGGGCTCTTAATGCCATCCCTCTCGCTCGTTTTGTACGGCGACATGAACCCGATTACCACATCCAAATGGATGCTAGTGATCGCGGTTTGTGCGCACTTTTTCCAGCAAGACAGCAGTTCTTACAAGTGGAGTTTAATTATGAGGAACTTCAACTTATTGAAGAATTCAACAGATCAGGGGACGGAGATTTCGGGATCAACGTCCGTGAATTGATGAGTGCTGTGTTTGCTGCATTGGTGTGGGGGCATCTGTGGAGTCGTCCGAGTCAAGATAGTGACGCTCATGTCCGATTCTGGATTGATAACATATCAGCTGTTTCGTGGAGTAACAGCAGAGCAAGTCGCAATCGTTTCGCGCAAATGCTCCTGCGCATTCTAAGTCTGTCCGAAGTAAAGCATGGATTTTATCCCACCGCCGAACACGTGGCTGGTGTAGACAACGACATGGCCGACGCAGGCAGCAGGGTGTGGCAGTCACCACTACTGGCGACAAAATTTTCTAACATGTCTTGTGGTTGGCAACAGGCTCAGATCCCTCACGACTCGCGAAATCTCTCGCGTCTTTGGGAGCATTACTCCGCGCAGGGGCTTTAGCACAGTCGTCGAGGAAACATTACACAAGAGCGTGGTCTCAATGGACATATTGGTGTAAATTAATGGGACTTAACCCGTGGCTCAGTAAGGACTCGATCGACAAGAACGCGGAGCAATTGGGTGCGTTCGCTGTTTATCTCTGGCAGTACGGAATGAATCGCTCTCAGCAAGGAAACACATATTCAACGATTTGTTCGAAATTGCGTGCGGTACGCTGATTTCATCGCAATACGGCAGGATACGATCCTGGTGTGAATGCCAGTCACGCATTTTACTTCGAGGAATTCGGCGATTTACCAATCCTGTCGTTAAGCAGCAGCCTCTGACAGCACGCCTGCTTCGTCTCATTTTCGAAGAACTTGACCTCACGCAGACTTGACACCAACTTTTATGGGGCGGTCTTCTACTCGGATATTTCTTCCTGCTGAGACGTTCTGAATATCTATTCATTGGGCGGCAATTTCACAACTTTATTCTTCGACTCGAGGCAATTAAGTTTTACGGCAATCACGAGCGCTTAGTAGCACCTAAGCGAGCCATGGTAGTTGGCATCTCTCTCAATGGAGCCAAAAACAACCAATTCGGCCGTGAGGAAATGCGTTACCACAGCAAGTCAAAGGATCCGCTGATCTGTCCGGTTCGAGCAGCGCGATGGGTCCATAAAGCTGCAGCAGTGCTGGGCACGAGTGCAAACGATCCAGCCTGTCAGTGAGAAAGGGTGGAATCACATCAACGGAGATCGCTGCGATCATTAAAAATGCGGCAAGAAAAGCCGGCTTTGATCCGGCACGATTTCCCACTCATTCTGTTCGAATAGGAGGCGCCACAGCGTTGCTCAACGCGGGCGCCGATCGGCTTGTCATCAAACTTATGGGTCGTTGGTTGTCCAACGCGTTTGAGGGGTATCCGGTGCTTTCCGCCAAGGGGTCTGCGGAACTTTCACGCTACATGTGCTAACAAAAAGGCGACCACACCCACGGCTCAACTTGCGGCAATCTCATGATGGGGCCGCCGCCACGCCTCGCCCAGGTGTGGCAAAATGCAACTCAATCAATTTGCCCCAACGTGACATTGTTGGAAATTGCTGGTTGCGGAGGCCACGGCAACATGAGATGTGCAAGTTGCCGACGAAGGCGTATTTTCCCGATGTCGCAGTTAGTTATATTTAGTTCTGTAGGAGCTCGAGAAGCTTAGTTGCTTCCAGCTCACTTTCGCTTTCTTTTCGCAGCTAACCCGCCACGCCTCGCCCAGGTGTGGCAAAATGCAACTCAATCAATTTGCCCCAACGTGACATTGTTGGAAAGTTGGTATTACAAAAGAATCAAGATATTTCGCAGGCAATGTCGGGACAACAGGGGTGATCGCCGCAACAATATCCGCGATCGCCGGAACCGCCGAGACCCCATCGCCGGCATCCTTGCCACGATCTGACTGATCACCCTTGTCGGCGCTCAGGTCGGCGCTCAGGTCCCTAGTAATACTGAAAATGGGCAGCGTCGGGAGAGCAGGAGGTAGCGTTGGAATCGCCGGAGGCAATGTCGGAACAACCGGAGGCAGCGTCGGGATAACCGGGGGCAATGTTGGGACAACGGGGGTAATGTCGGGATAAGAGGAGGCAATGTCGGTATAATGTCGGTGATTATCCAGTGATCACGGATATCGTTCCGGTCATCACCGACATCGTTCCGGTCATCACCGACATCGTTCCTGTCATCACCGATATTGTTCCTGTCATCACCGACATCGTTCCTGTGGTTTCAGATATTGTTCCTGTGATCACAGATATTGTTCCTGTGATCACCGACATCGTTCCTGTGATTTCGGATATTGTTCCTGTGATCTCGGATATTGTTCCGAACGATGTCGGTGATCACAGGAACAATATCGGTGATCACAGGAACGATATCCGTAATGCCAGGAACGATGTCAGTGATCACCGGAACGATTTTAAACACTGGAACGATGTCAGTGATCACCGGAGCGATGTCGGTGATCACTGGTACGATATCCGTGATGACTGGGACGATATCCGTAATGATCGGAACGATGTCAGTGGTGACAGGAACGATATCCGTGATCACAGGTACAATGTCGGTCAGCTTCGGGCCCTCACTGCCGGATTCGCTAGCACTAGTACTGTCCGACGTGCTGCCGGACAAGCTTGTATCGGCACTCCCGCTCTCGCTAGCGGATACACTAGAATCGATTTCACTACCCGCGCTGCCGATTGTGCTACCGGGCAAGCTTGGGTCGACACTTCCGCTCTCGCTGCCAGCCAT